CCAGTATATATTAGGTTCCTTCATAGCACCATAATTTTTCATTATAAATTTGTGTATTCATTCAACTAACTGTCTCTCTTACCATACTGTTCACTCCAAGAGGGAAGAGACCTACCCACTGAGTACCTAATTATGTGATGAATGAATAACTGATTAGTAGTAATCAACACTAGATCAACCAACTGCAAATGAGGGGAGGGTAGCAGTTAGGCATAATTGTCATTGTTAAGTTATGAACATGGTTAAAGGAGGGACAGAAAGCCGTTCTCAGAGAACTTAGACTTCTGTTGGACAAGGTAAACAACTTGTCCAATTCAGTTAACCTCCTTTCCCCACAAAATCCTCGTAAGACTGTGGTATCAGCTAATAAAATAAACTTAATACTACCTATAAAGTGATTGCACTTACAAGCAAACATGCAATATTATTTTTTTTCCTCTTAGGAGATGATGTTACATATCATCCTAGAAACAAAAAATTTCCAAATAAAACCTATAAAAATACTAATATATATGACAAACATAGCTGTGTTTCATGACCATTTTTCTCACAGCACTCTAATCTTTCCACCCTCCTAAGGGAAGGACTTTACTGCTATTCTGTAGTAACTGCATCCACTGCATCCACTCAAAAATCCACTTAGCTTATACTAAAAAACAGGCACAGGGAACGAAAAAATGAAGCAAAGCCAAACAAACAACAAAACTATCACTGTCCTTGAAAATCTGATAAACTCACTTCTTTAATCTGCCTCCAACCTTACCACACCCTTATCAAAGCACCATACCATGCCATCTTCATTTCATCTCTTACCTTTACTAGTTTATAAAAAATTAAAGCAAACTAAACAAAATTAAAAAAAAAGAAACTACCTTAAGAACAACAAAGAACTTTAAAATAAACAAAAAAAACCCTGTTTCCCAAAAGAGGTATGTTTTACCTTTTATCAGAGTTAGACTGCAGAAAGGACAAATTTCCTGACAAGAAGTCATAAGCCATATATAAGCCATAATGTTACAATGGGAAAGATACTCACAAAAAAGGAAAATAAACAGATTTCCAAGTTCCTTAGAATTTTATTTTTAGCTAAAAGAGACCTCAAAGGCCATCTACTTCAACCTTCTCATTTTACAACTGACAAAACCAAAGACCCTGAGAGGTAAAGTCAAATAGAAGACATTAGTTCTGATTTCTCTCATGTCCTAACTTCTTGCCCCATAGAACTTAAGGCTGAACCACTCAGTAAACTGAGAATCTCTTCCTCTTCATAGGGGCGGGGCAGAAGACCAGAGAAGGCAGGTTCCTAATAATGTTGTCATGTTTAACAAGATAAAAGGACTGACATACAGCATGGTAAGTATTTTAATATAATGTTTTTATTAATTATGAGTATAATTTTATACTTGTCTAGCATTACCAGCATAATTCTGTAATTCGAGTGTATTATGGGTTAAATAGGTTTCAGTAGGTTGTCTTGTGAGTTTAACTGCTAAACATACTGTTACTGAGAAAATAAGTTCCAAGTCCTAAACAAATTTATCAATTTTAAAATATAACAAATCCTATTCTAAGTTAGGACTACAATTCACAAAGATTTGAGATTCAAAATTATAAGCAGAATGGGATAAACTAAAAACACAAGAGTCCTAATTTTATAAATGTTTGATCGTAGGGACCATTTATTTTTAAAATTAGGAAAGGGTGGAGGTGTGGCTCAGTGGTAGAGTGTTTGCCTAGCAAGTATAAGGCCCTGAGTTCAAACCTAGTACTGCCAGGAAAAAAAAAAAAATTATGTATTTTTAAAATCAGGTACTGAGACAGCACAAGATTTAATTTACATACTTTTAAAAATTCAGATTACACTGGAAAGCTTAAGTCAAAACTTAAGTCAAAAAAGTCAAATAGGTTAGTTCTATACTAACCTAATTTAGAGAAAATAAAAAACTTAATGTACATTTTAAAGAGGTAATAAGAAAATCATTAATACTGTTTCATTTAGATTGCCAACATATACATTATTCAGTATCCAGTGTTAGTTCAACAATGAATGAGCAAAAAGGATTATAAAAGGAAGTAAAAACAGGTTACGAAAGACTTCCAAATATATATTTCTCTTTTCTCTGGAGATAAAACTATGTTTCATTAATTTAAATGTTTAATAAATCTACCTTGCAAAATTCTCACTCAGTACATGAAAACAGTACATGAAATTCCTTACTCATTTTATTTATTCAACAAAGAAAATGAAACCCTTGCTATTTGTTAATTACTACGCTAGCACCTTTGAATTTATGACAATAAGTTGCAGGTTAGCTCCTGTCCTCAAAGAGCGCAAGAAAAAACATGTGTTAACTGCATTTACTCAAGTGATAATGACAGCTAAACTTGAGCTCATCGTTTAAGAAAACATAGAACATGTAATCAAATTCACAAACAAAATCCCTATACAACAGTAAACTTAAAGACACTTTGAGTCTTATCGCCTGTATGAGATTCTCACATAAAGTAACCAAAAGTACTATTTTGGTAGACGTTCTAATAACATGATCTTTTAAAAGTAGTTTTTGCCATGAAAATTGACTGAACTAATCTTTCAGTAAGGAAATCAAATCTACTACCTACTATTATAATGCAAATCAAGTACTCAAGATCTCAAATTATTCCCCAAATTAAGCAAAATGTATAATCAAATATAGTATATACAATATTAATATATGGATATTTGCAAACTTAAGTAGTGAACACGTAGCTCCATGCCATACCTTACAAATGATCACACTAAGTATTTTGGATTGTGTCACCTAAAATTTTTTAAATGAAAAAAAGTATGAACACTTTCTGGGTATTTTATTTTTCACAAATTTAATTCAATATTCTACTTGAACAATGAATCACAGTTTTTTTTTTCCATCAGTATTAAACTATCACTATACTTGTAACTATATGTAGGTATTAACTGTAACAACTATTAAGTCTGCAATTAAAAGCCCTTGATAAATGGGAAATTCTTCAATTGAGACTCATAGTTCTCCAAAAATTATCAACCATTCTAAACATGCCAAACTAGATCCTGAAGCCATTTTTTCATTGTAATTTACAATGAACTATTTTATCAGCTAAAAATATTTAAATTTTCTTTAAAAGCAGACTGAAAACATTTTTACTGAATTTATGTGGAGTAAGGAAACCAAGGCACAAAGGTGTCCATTTTGTAAATTGCAAGGTCATTTCCTAACCAAGCAACTGATTCTACCATCAACTTATATGTGCGCCACTACCAAGTGCCATTCAACAATTCCTGTGCCTTCAAACTGCCTCTGCAATGCCTATGTGCAATCCTGCTGTTAGCAAAAGGGTTAATGTAACAAGCTTACACAAGGAAAGATGGAAAACAGGATTAAAAAATTACATTTTTGGTATTGAATCATTTATTCTTAAGCAATGAGATTTACACGGTTTTGAACATTAAGTAACCAACAGTTCTTTCTTATGTTTTCAGAAAAATATTTCAACCTGCAGGTAGATCATGCAAAACTGGAACCTACTCATCCTCTTCGACAAAAGTTACAAAAATAAGAAAAAGACCTATAACAAGTAATTAAATATAAGATATTGAAAAAAAGAAAAGAATGAATAAAAATCAAATTCCGATAAATTGGGAATGATCGATAAGGTAGTTAAGAACCCCACCTTAAATATTAAATCCTCCCTTTCATTCAGCTGAAAAGGCTATGGTTAATCAACATTCGGCTACTGAAAATTAAAGACAAAACTTTTCTGATTTAAAACCTGAGAAATTTTATATCAAGTACTTTATTCAAATATTCAACGTAAGCATGCAAAATAAATAAAAATACTTTTTACAACACAAACTTAAGAGCATAAGGGTGTTCCTTAGAGTTCAAACTAAGATTGCATTTATAATTATGGCATAGTGCTACTCACAATTAGAAAAAATTAAAGTTTACTATACAAATTATATATAAGAACATTAGACGGGTCGACTAACCAATAAATCGATTACATCAATTACTGAACAGAAGTAAGACTTAGCTAATACGTGAATATAACCTCAAGGAAAAAAAAAACTGAAAAGAGAATCCAAGGCACAGTTTAAACAGAAAAGGCCAGGGTTAGGATGAGCTTGGGGATTAGATTAATGAACTAACTAATCGGATACAGGGCAGGTCGTGAATGCGGGGGTCGGATGTGCTTTCTTTTTATCCTCATTCTCGTCCATCCTCGACCAAGTGCAAGGGAAGGTGTCAGTGCCGAAGCTAGGGGGCACGCTGTAGCAAGGGGAGAAGAAAGCTGGGCAAGGTGCAGGGATGCTGCACACTTGAACGATCATCTGGGTGGCACAATGGGCGAGTCCTGCCGACATCGGAGCCGGCTGAGCGGCTCCCTAACTCTGCCCGAGGCACCTCCCATGACCAGACATCAGGAGCCACGGCAGCATTTCGCCCTCTCTTTAGAAGAAAAAGGGGGTGCCCGCACGGCGTGACCGTTATGTCTGCAGACAGACCTGGGTGCCGACACGCACGGAAAGAGCTCGCCCCACAGCCCGGCGCACGTAGAGCGCGCTGGGCTTCGTCGCCCGCCCGCCCAGCCGGGCTGCAGCCTCCCGCGGGCGAAGAAGGAGAGGAGGCCCAGGAGCGATCGCGGGGCCAGGGAACCCAGAGCATGGATGGTTCCTCAGGTGAGACCCGCAACGTTAGGGTCTCCGTTAGGGTAACGTCAGGCCGGTGCCTGCAGCCGAGTTCCCGGCGCGCACGCAGCCGTCTTCCCCGGCATCCAGCCCTGGCTGCCGGTGGGCGGCGGGAGCTGGGGAAGCCCGGAATGGGGGCGGGGGCGGCGCGCCCATCCATCCCTGCCACCTTTGCTGGCCAGAGATCCACACATCCCTACTCCGTTCGGGCCGGTGAGGATGAGTGCCTTTCCCAAGCCCCCTACCTCGAAAACGAAAAATTCCTGAGAGAGCGAGAGGGACTCGCGCTCACCATGAAATCGTGGGGGGCTCCAGCCTTACCCCTTCTTCATGCTTCGGCGGCGTCCGCCGGTCCCGCGCAGCTCCGGGACTCCACCTCGAGCCCCCCAGGAGCTTCGGGCTCGGGGCTGGAATCCGCTCCGGGCAGCGGCTGAAGCGCCGGGCCACTGAAAATGCCGCCTAGGGCGCCCGCCGGTCGCCGGACCCACGGCGTGCTCGATGCGCGAGCGAACAACACCGCGAGCAGCCGCTGCCCTCCTCCCGCCCCCTCCTCGCGCGCGACGCTCCACAACTGGGCGCGGGGACCCGCACCAGCAGCAGGGGGAACCGCGGCACTCTCTCCACCTAACGTCCCACCCTTTCTTCCAGGAGCTACTCCTGGCCTCTCGTAGCTCTTCGAACCTAAGAGTCTTACTTTCCCTCTATGTCCTCAGGGCCCAGGTGCAACGGCGGTAAGAAATTCAGCCTCCGCCCACTCACCCATCAGCGGAGGTGACCATCGCTTTTCCCCCTTTCCTGAGGCTCTGTGGTATTACCCAACCTTCGGTTTGGGGGAGGGGGACAGAGAGAACGGTGCTTGGCTAGGGAATGAAGGAAGATGATAGCCAATTGAATAAACCATCCACTGGGGGGCGGGGTCGAAAGGAGGCCCGCCCTACCAGCCCCGCCCCCTCGCTCTAAACTACATTTCCCATTGTGCATCTTGCTCTTCCAGCCGCGCTGCACTCCGGGAGTGAAGAACCTCGAGGCCGCAAGGTATTTTAGAGCTCAAAGTCTTTAATCAACTAGGTCCTGAAAGTTATAAGCTATTATGTTTCCCTCTGTTTTCCTAGGTTAAGGTTTCTAAGTTCCCGGTTTAGTTTTGGTTATTCTAGTAATAATTAACATATTGTTTCGAAGTGTTGTAAATGATTTCTTAGCAAAGGAGTTAAAGTATGCTTTCTTTTGTTAATCTGTCAGGACCTAGGAGCCGCTGCTTCTTCCGCCCCGGCCTGGTCTCAGCAGAGGATCTGTTGCCGTCATGTCGGCTGCGATTGCGGCTCTAGCCGCTTCCTATGGTTCGGGATCGGGGTCTGAATCGGACTCGGACAGTGAGGGCAGTCGGTGTCCGCTGCCAGCCGCCGACTCCCTCATGCACTTAACTAAATCGCCTTCGGCCAAGCCCTCTCTGGCGGTGGCGGTGGACTCGGCTCCGGAGGTGGCAGTTAAGGTAAGTGTTTTGGCTTCAGCTCCAAACCCTCTGGTCGCCTTTTGGGTCCTGGGTTACCTTTTCGTGCTGAGAGATGAGTTGCTCACGTTTAGATCCTGTCTTCTTCCCACATGCGTCTTCCTTGGCAGAAGCTGAGAACTGGAAGTTCGGAACAGTCCTCCACCACTTCCTGCCCTCTTGTCTCTCCATCAGAAAGCAGTGATCCGAGAGGGGGTAAAATTTGAGTTTGTGGACTAGGACATGGCCCGTTTGGAGCAAATATAGTCTCAGAACATAAATAAAACTACATCAGGACTTTCCAAACTAGCTCAGCTTTGTTTTGGTTTTGAAGAACTAGTTTCTAATCTGGTTCCACCACTGTGTGAACTTGAGCAAATCAGACAACCTCCCCTGTTTCTTCACCTGTGCAATGGAGATAATTTTTACAGCATTTATCTATATAAGAGGATTACTGCAAAGATTAACAATAGAGCTTATAATACAGAGCCTGATACCTAGTGAAAGTGCAAAAGATGTTAGTTATTGTGATTCTGTATGCTAATACAATCAGAAAAGGGCATTGGTTTTAAGAAACAGCATGTGTAATCCCGATGAAGGAAGGTGATAGAGGGAGAAATTGGGTCATATAGTTCCCTAACAAATATTTATTGAACACATATTATTTGTCAAGAACTGTTATAAGGTCTGAATCCACAGAGGCCAACAAGCTAGACATTTTTTCCATCGTGATGCATGCACTGTAGTGGAAGAGGTAGCCAAATAAATGTGATCCAATAAAGTAATTACATATTGGGTTAAAAGGGAAAAAATAGAGTACTGTGATAGAGAATAAGGTAGAAGTATGATTTTGATAAGTTGGTCAGGCAAGTACTCTCTGAAAGGTCAATTTGAAGCCAGTCCCATGTAAGCTAAGGCAGAAGTTTCCAAGCTAGGTTGCTGAGAAAACAGTGTTTAAGTACCAAGGAGAGGCTGGTCTCAGCCAGGTGAGAGCATCAGCTAGTTGGTAGTAGAGCCCTGCGTGGACAGTAAGAAGCTCAAAATGTGGAGGGGAAAGCAGTGTACAAAAATTCCTTTGTAAAATGTTCCCAAGTTCACAGATTTTTAGGCAGTCACCTACGAGTTTTACATTTTATTAGGACATCCAGTATTGAAGAATGTTGAGAATTCTATCTTTCTAAAAACAAAACTATCCCAACTTAGAATCCTCCAGCAATGTACTGCTTTTGGAACTCTCTTCACTTCATCTCCATTTTCTTCCCTCTCCAGTGCAGTCTGGCCCTCGCCTCTCAAGAAACTATTCTACTAGAACGATGTTCAGGCCTTCTAGTCATCAGATTCTGCCATCTGACTTGAATCTCTTCATCAAGTGACATTTACATTGTTCCTCTTTTTCTAAGTATTCTCTCCCTCTGACTTCCACAGGCCTGTCCCCCGCCTCTGGTCCCTCGTTCTTCTGCCTTCTTGTATGTAAAGTGGTGTTTCCCAGGTCTCTGTCTTTAATTCTCTTTGCACTCACCGTGTTCTTCCATATCTTCAACCTCAGTCTGTGCCTCTGCTAGCTCACAAATGACACTGTGAAGTGGTTAACACAGGCTTGAGTCAAGACTCCAAGATACAAATCCTGCCTTCTAACACTTACCCACATAGTGACCTTGGATACGTTATTTAAGTACGCTGGCCAGTTTTTCCTCATCTTTAAAGTTACTTCAACACTGACTGTTATCTTATGGACTTATAAGAATTGTCACAGACCATGTAAAGGAATTTTAACAGTGTCAGGCACACAATAAATACTGATTAAATATCAGATATCCTAATTATTTCTAGTTTTAAACTCTTTGCTGGTTTAATACTTAATAAACATCTCTCCCAGAAAAGCTGCCAGGCTCCATTAGTTCAATGTGCTGAAAATTGATTGACAGTTTCTTTCCCTTAAAAGTCACTTCTGTGTTTCCCATGTTGATTAATAACTTCATATCCTACCCCTTGGTCCAGGCCAAGAACAGAAGGGTCATCCTTTCCTTTTTCTTCAGCCGCTGAAGCTAGTCATTCAGCTGATTCTACCATTTCTGTTTCATTAATTTTCTCACATCAATTCCTTTCTCTCTATTTTTATTGGTACAGCCTTCATAGATTCCTTAATTCTCCCAGAAATTGACTTTTCCTTCTCTTTCAAAATTCGCTTGTAGGTGGTGGGTCTGCCAGTTGTAACACAGTGATTATCAGATCTCAATTTCTTCTGCTGCCACTGTTCAGATTCTCATCACTTAAGGCAATCATAGTCTTCTAACTGGTCTTTCTATTGAAGACCTTTATTGCTCCCTCTTCTATACCCTATTCTTTTCTCCACACTGCACCTAGAATGTTCTTTCTGAATACTGATTTCATCATGTCACTCCCATGCCCAAACACAGCATGCTGGCAGTTAAAGAATGACTAAGTTTGTTATGTACCGCATGAAGGCTGCTATTCTCCCAAGCTGGGCTCTTTATAGTCTCACAAGCCTAATTTTCTTTTTCCTCCCAAAGACTTAGACTCGTGCCTCCCTCCCATACCCCAAACTCAATGTGCCATTCTCCGAGCACATGTTCCCTCCTGTATCTACCTGAGTCCACTTTTTCATATCTCAACTCTAGCACTTACCACATTGTTGGGATTTGTTTACTTTGTACTTCCCCCTGACTGTGAGACTGTGGGGCTCAGAGCTTGTGTGGGTTCCTTTGTATCTCCAGTGCCTAGTACACAAGATTAAAGGAAATGTATTTGGTGAGCGGATGGAAAAAGATGAAAAAGAAAGCCAGAGGTCCATTAGACACAGAGCTGGAGCTAGTCTCCCCCAGTGGTGTGGGTTCTGTGATGGGAGACATGCAGTGTGCCCATTGCTGGTTTAAGAACCAACACTTGCTTATATGAAGGGGGAGGGGTAAGCTTACACCTGGTAAATGTAAGGATGGCAAGTGATTGGGGAATGACCTAGGAAGCATGCAAATACATTCATCTGTATTCGACTAACTATATTGTGACTAATAACAATATAGTGACTTGTTGGCAGATAATGAATTTACGCAGTGTTTTTTCCATTTTTTTCCTGAGCACTAAGGGATTGAATATCTTTTCATATTTGCTATTAGTGAGTTGATTCTTTTTTTAACCTTTTGAAAGCAACTATTGGGTTGTGCTTTTCCCTTCCTTTTGTAGGACATATCTAATACATTCTGGATAATATTGTTTGCTAGTTGTGTTTGTTGCATAAATTCTTTCCAGTTTGTGACTTGTCTTTTGACTCTCTTTTAATAAGGAGAATAATTTATTTAGTCTAATCTTATCAGATTATTTCTTTATGAATTGTGGTTCTTTCATAATGATAAAAGGTTCAACTCACAAAGAGGTATATAACAATGTAAGCTGAAAACATTTTAGCATTAATTGACAGAACCATAAGGAGAAGTTGACAAATACACAATCAACAAAAATCTCAATACTGATTCAGAAAATCTGAATAACAGAATTAGTAAACTGTTTGTAAAGCTCATAGAACATAGCACTTAACTATGAAACCAATTTTCTTTTTTTCAAACTAACCATAATAGATCAGGGACTGGCAAATTTTGATAAAGGGCCAGACAATAAATATTTTATACTATGTTGGCCACATAGGATCTCTGTCACTTCCTTCTTTTCTTGGTCCTTGGTCCTTTTTTTTAAAATAACTCTTTAGAAAAACATAAATACCATTCTTAGGCTGTTAGTACAAATAACAGACTGTGAGCTAGATTTGGCCCATAAACTGTAATTTGCCAGCCCCTGTACTACGCTATCAAATAATTCTCAACAACTTTTAAATCACACATTACAACATTCTGTGACCCTGATGCATCTGCACTAGGAGCTAGGCATAAAAAAATAACTATAAAATTCCCATATTTGAAAATTGTGAAATTGCACTTCTAAATCTCCTGTGGGGTAAAGGCAAAAATCGTAACAAAGTATTTTGATCTGAACAATAAGGAAAATATAGCAATTAAAAAAGAAGCATGCATAGATATAATGGATGAGAAATGCTAGGCATCTTTTCTTTGGGATTTTATCTTAATCATTCCATTATTTCCTTGCCATCATTTGTAAATTATGCTCTCAGTTTCTGTTCTTGAGTGGTTATTCCTAGAAATTACAACATGTCTGAATTAATCAATACCTTTGCCTTCTAAACGGTTCAAGAACCACTTCAATTTTATTCATATCCCCTCACCCTATTTTAATCTGGTGTGTGTGTGCATGGTTGTGTGCACACATACCACATGCTCTCAAGATGATGTGAGTGAGATTCTTGCAGCTCACATGCAAAAGATCGTTTCTGTCTACCTGAAGTACATGCTTTAGACTGTACAAGGGTGGGCTATTGGCAAATGTTTTCACTTTTAGTTTGTCTTTGAAATGTTTGTATTTAACACTTTTTAGAGAATATTTTTGCTGGGTTTGCTTACTTAGTTGACAGTTTTCTCTTAGCACATTTGAGATATTCTTTTTTCTGATCTTTGTTACTACCAGTAACTCATCAGCCACAGTGTAGCTGTTTTTCATTGAAAATGATTTCCTTTTTTCTTTTGACAACATATAAGCCCCTTTCCCTGCCCCTTTTATTAGTTGTGCAGTCTCATTCTTCAGTTTTATTATGAAATAGCATAAATAGATGTTTTTATTTGTTCTGCTCAGAATTTTGTTGGTTTTCTTCAATTGTGGTTAATAAGTTTGCGATGTGGATCTTTCAACATTTCTGGAACTTCACAGGTCTCATCTCTTTATTTTAGTCCCATTCCCTTCTTATTCTGGAACTGTATTGAAATAGATTTGTGTTCTCTAGTGTATAGCTATGATTATTTTCTGGTTAAGAATTTATTTTAATGCAACACTGTCAGGCTTTGACCATTAGAAATCATCACTTTAGAAATGTGATGAGCTGAACCAGGCATGGTGGTGCATGCCTGGAATCCCAGGAGGCTGAGGCAGGAGGATCTCAAGTTCAAGGCCATCCTGGGCCACATAGTGAGACCCTGTCTCAAAAATAAAATAAAACAAACAAACAAAAAAGAAATGTGATGTGATGAGCTCTACTGGGTGGCAAGAGTTGCTTTTTTGCTGACTTTAAAGTTAAAAATAAATTAATAAAAGCAGACCTGGCTTTCTCACTTCCATCAACGACTATGCTACTTTCCCCCAGTAAATTCCCTGCACTCATAGCCAACTTGAATAAAATGAAAATTCTATCTCTCAGTTTTAAATGTGTTTTTATATTTCTTCTTGATTGATATTTTTTGTTTTTGTGAGCTCCAGTTGAATCATCTTTTTTCTTCTATATGTGTTAAGGGCCAAACTCAAAGAATATATATGTTTATCTAAATTTCTGTTCTTTTATTTCATCATCTAAACTCCTATTTTATGATGTTCAGTCATTTCCAATTCCTGGGGAAGTTTATATCATAAATTGATAAGTACTTTATAATAATGATTAACATTTGTGATATCTGTGGTATCCTTTACAATTTGCGTAGTATTTTCCTGCCTGTTTTCTTATTTGCACACAGGAAGAAATGTGAAAAGAACTTTTCAGATTTCTATGCCAGTAGTTTTTGTTAGTTGTTGTTGGGGGGGGGCCTCTAACATTTTTTATTATGATTACTTTAAACTCTTCCTCTTATTAATTCTATTAGTACTGTGGAGTAAGTGACTTAATCTTTCCAATACCTTACCTCACAGAAATGATGTAAAGATTGTATGAAATGATGTGTCTACCCTGGTGCTAGCATCTAGTATTACTAGGTTCTTTTTTCATAGTACTTACCCACTTCTAGAAACTATATAATTAATTTATTTGTCATGTGAGTCTTTGTCTCTCTCTTCCACTAGAACATAAACTCCACAAAGGCTTTGCATAGGTACATCTCAATACCAAAATCACTCTGGCAGAGGTGTTTTATTTTTTGATTTTGAGATATATTTGCCAAATCCAGTGATCTTTAGTCAGCCTTACCCTACTTAATTTTTCTGTCAATTCACCTTTCTTTCATTATTTTAATTTAAATATTTATTGAACATGTGCTGAATGCCTGCATTCTACAAGGCAGTGAATGAGGATATAACATATAAGTCAAAGCCATGTGCAACAAATAATATATCACCAATACTATGAAGAATGCAACATTCCTTAGGACTGTGGGCATAAAAACAGCTTTCCTAAGGCAGGAGGAAGGACAGATCAGGGAAACTAAGAAGATGAAATATCATCAGATAACAAAGAGAATGCCTGTGATACAAGGCAGTGCCAGCAACACAGGTAGCATCAGGGTGGTTGCTATTTTAGAAAAGCAGCCATTCGTGTAATGTGGTAAAAGTGGGGGTATATTAAACCACATTAGGAGGTATAATAGACAGGCAAGATATGATGAAGCCCTAAAGTAGGAGAATGGTAGGTGAGATGTGGGGAATGGAGGATGGAAGTGGGATTGCTGGGGAAATATTCATAGGTAGAATGAGTAAGACTCAGTACACAGTTTGTTAGTCAAGATGTCACATGGGGGAGGATAGGTTCTATAGCATAGTGTTTGATACTGTGACATCCATATAAATGAAAATCAGTAGACAGTTGGATATAAGGATCCAGAGGCCAGGAGTGGAGGGCCAGGGCTACAGAAAAGAAAAGAAAAAAAGAATTGGGGATAATAGCTAGAAATCATGAGAAGGATAAAGTGAGGTAAGGAAATGAATGGACAGTTTTGAAAATAGAGAGAAAATTCAAGGAATTAGAAGTTCAAGAAGCACTACCTGGTGGACTGTATCTTTGAGAAGTACAGAAACTAAGTAGCCTGCTTTGGTAAAGAGGCAGCTGTAAAATGTTTTGAGAGTGGTAAGATTTTGGAACAATAAGTCTATGCCTGTGGTGTTATTTTCTTAGCATTGTTGTAGTCTTTGGTCATTGTCTGCATAACTACCTACATCTTCTTTTGTAGTATTGCTTCTTCTCCACTATCACTGTCAATCTTATAAATCCTACCTGTTTTGCAGTTTGCAGTGTTACTTTGCATTGCCTTGCATCATGCTAATGGATGTATCCTGCCATCAGTAAAAAGCCAACAGAATAGAGATGATATGATTGAGATTGTCCTAGGGGTTGATTGATTATATATTTGTAGGTACAATACCACCTTATGTAGCTTGCATTTTAGTAGAGGGAGAGAGGTAATAAACAAACATATATGTTAGGTGATGATAAATATAATCCCAAAAAATAAAGCAAAGGAGAGGGAAAAGCAGAAAAACTTGAGCAGAGACCTAGGAGAGAAAACAAGCTTGTGAATATCTAGGGGAAGGACATTCCAAGAAGAGAGAACAGTAAGTGCAGAGCGCCTGAGGCCAGGCTCTGCTTTGGCATATTCCAGGGTCACAAATGAACCAGTGAGACTGGGGTAAATTGAGCACCAGGCATTGTGCTAGAAGAAGGCTGAAACTGCTGGGGGCAGGATAAGTTCTCAACCATTTAGACTCAAGTCCCTCATTTTTTTATAGCAGCAATTTTACAATGCCAGTGTATAGATGATTTGTGATTTCCTTAAAAGTTTCAAAATATAATATGAATGCCCTAACTAAAGGAGAAGTATTTATAATAATCAAATAATAGGTTTTTAATATGTGATTTCTCAGAACAATACAGGAGACAAAAGTGCCGTGTGAACCATACCTATGTTCTCAGGGAACCATGCCCATGCTCTGAGAACAACTGTAATGGGCCTCGTAGGCCTTCAGTAGGCTTGTATTCTGTATGGCAAAGCTGTGAGGGGAGGAAGGGTAGAGCATATGAGTAACATAATCTGACGAATACTTTGAAAGAATTGCACTGGCTTCTATATGGAGTAAGGCTGAAAGTGGGCAGGTGCAGAAAGCAGGGAGACCAGTACAATAACCCAGGTGCAAGGTGCCAGTTGAACTGAGCTGATGGAAGATGAGAAGTGACTGTTCTGTATGTACCTAGAAAGTAGATTTGCTGGTGGATTGGATATAGAGTGTGATAAAAGAATGGTCACAGATAACTCCTGAGATTTTCACCTGAGCAACTATAAGGATGTTAATTACCATTGACTTAGAGAAGCCTGGATGAATTCACTGGGGGAGGGGAGGTCTGTTAGACATCCTGAGAGAAAAGATGCCAAGGCCAATGTTGGATATACAAGTCTTTAGGGCTTACGGGAGTCCAGGCTAGAGATGCCAGTTTGGGAACTGATATATCTGTAACTGGTAGGGTTACAAAAGAGAGTACTAGTGATTCTTCAGCAGCGATAAGAGAGACTTCTGTGTTCATTCAGCTGGGGAATGACTTCAAGAAGGTTGAAGCATTGACATGATTTAGAAGACTTTAGGTTAGGAAGACTTAGGCCCTGCCACTGCCTTTTGTTTCCTCTGCAGTAGTACCCAGCAAAGTGTCATCTGTTTACATATCTAATAGGCTTACTGACTAAAAAAGGAGTGCTACTTTTGAATTTGGAACTAAAGGATCAGGTCTTTTGAGTCAATTTTATAAAAAAAAGAGTAAGAATCTCTTAAGATTTTGAGTAGTGTTAACTTATTTTGAATTTTTTATTTTTAATAGCCAGTGTTTTGAAAGAGTTATGCATTTTAACCTGTAAAATTTACCATATTTATCACATATATATTACTTTTATTAAATCTTTATTTTTAGAATTAGTAATCATATGATACTACTATAATAATCATAAAATTGGTATTTAAAAAGGTATAACTCTGAGTTCAATCCCCAGTACTACCAAAAAAAGTGGGGAGGGGAGGACTGGTGTGACTTTGATGTAGCTTGTAATATAATCACTTATCAAATTTTTAATATTCATTTGGCTTTCTTTTAGGAAGATTTGGAGACTGGTGTTCACCTTGACCCTGCTGTAAAAGAAGTTCAGTACAATCCTTCCTATGAGACCATGTTTGCTCCTGAGGTAAGAAAATATATTTGGAGTTTTCCTTTTTGCTAAAGTATGTAACTCATACAGAGGTAGATAACCACTTGCTGAATTTTATAAGTTTTCTCATAAAAGTTTACTATTTAAACTTTCAGAAAATATATTTCTGATATCTAAAAATCTAAATAGTGTGCTTTTGTGAGGATATTTTTAAAAATCCACTGACTTCTTCTGTACCCACGTACAGATATTTGAAAATAGGATCTATGTCATTTGAGAAAGGAAATCTGAAGAAGGTTCTGTCCTGAAGCAGAGGGGGGGAAAAAGGAAGTGTGGCACAAACAATGTATACACATGTAAGTAAATGTAAAGACAATAAAATAAAAGGAGAAAAGAAAAGAATGAAGAAAAAAAGAAAAAGGAAGTCTGAAAATATAATTCTTTGATGTAAACTTGACATCTTCCTTTCAGTATTGATGGAGTATTATAATTAACCATAGGGAAAAAATTGGTTTATTAACATCAATACATGGTATATATTGAAGTATTTAGTCACAAATTCCTCTCAAATGCCATGCTAACACTGTTGAAAAGTAGCCACAGTGTTTGAGTGACTACTCTGAGTGCTCTGAGTGAAGCAAAGAACTATGCTGGCTTTTCTCTCTCTTTCTCGGTAATAAACAGTAATAGAAACATTTAAAAATGAAGAAACAAGGTAGAAATAAATCCTATTGTCCATTTAGGAAAGTTCATGTTTTAAAAAGTGATATTTCTAGACATAATGGAAAAGGATGCTTGACTGACAAAAAGAGAAGCCAGAAAATTGTAATTATAAAACAGAAAAATAAGAATTCACTAGCAGGATCTTTAAGAAACACTTTAAAGGTAGAGGTGAGGAACTGTATCTTATCACATCATGGTAGAAAATGATGTACTTCTTCATAATTTGCATTTTGTAGCATGTAGTCACTGTCTTTTGTCTGATATATCGGGCACTGATTGCTATTTCTTATACTTTGCCTGCCTAGGTTTCTGTAGTCATTTAAAAGTTAGCTGTTGCAATGAGTAGCCCTGCTAGCATTGTCAGTGCCTGTGTTAAGACAGTGCTGCAGCTCCTCTGAGGGGTGGGAGATTTATAAAGCACAAATATTCTTATCCTCAGAGAATATAGTGCATCCTAAGTTTTATTCCATTATTTTTTTTTTTCATTTTTCTTTTATTATTCATATGTGCATACAAGGCTTGGTTTATTTCTCCCCCCTGCCCCCACCCCCTCCCTTACCACCCACTCCACCCCCTCCCGCTCCCCCCCTCAATACCCAGCAGAAACTATTTTGCCCTTATCTCTAATTTTGTTGTAGAGAGAGTATAAGCAATAATAGGAAGGAACAAGGGGTTTTGCTGGTTGAGATAAGGATAGCTATACAGGGCATTGACTCACATTGATTTCCTGTGCATGGGTGTTACCTTCTAGGTTAATTCTTTTTAATCTAACCTTTTCTCTAGTTCCTGGTCCCCTTTTCCTATTGGCCTCAGTTGCTTTAAGGTATCTGCTTTAGTTTCTCTGCATTAAGGGCAACAAATGCTAGCTAGTTTTTTAGGTGTCTTACCTATCCTCACCCCTCCCTTGTGTGCTCTCGCTTTTATCATGTGCTCATAGTCCAATCCCCTTGTTGTGTTTGCCCTTGATCTAATGTCCACATATGAGGGAGAACATACGATTTTTGGTCTTTTGGCCAGGCTAACCTCACTCAGAATGATGTTCTCCAATTCCATCCATTTACCAGCGAATGATAACATTTCGTTCTTCTTCATGGCTGCATAAAATTCCATTGTGTATAGATACCACATTTTCTTAATCCATTCGTCAGTGGTGGGGCATCTTGGCTGTTTCCATAACTTGGCTATTGTGAATAGTGCCGCAATAAACATGGATGTGCAGGTGCCTCTGGAGTAACAGTCTTTTGGGTATATCCCCAAGAGTGGTATTGCTGGATCAAATGGTAGATCGATGTCCAGCTTTTTAAGTAGCCTCCAAATTTTTTTCCAGAGTGGTTGTACTAGTCTACATTCCCACCAACAGTGTAAGAGGGTTCCTTTTTCCCCGCATCCTCGCCAACACCTGTTGTTGGTGGTGTTGCTGATGATGGCTATTCTAACAGGGGTGAGGTGGAATCTTAGTGTGGTTTTAATTTGCATTTCCTTTATTGCTAGAGATGGTGAGCATTTTTTCATGTGTTTTCTGGCCATTTGAATTTCTTCTTTTGAGAAAGTTCTGTTTAGTTCACATGCCCATTTCTTTATTGGTTCATTAGTTTTGGGAGAATTTAGTTTTTTTAAGTTCCCTGTATATTCTGGTTATCAGTCCATTTTTTTAATCTGTCTAGCCTGATGAACTATACAGGCTGTCTCATTCCCTTGGCACCATTTCAGCCGGCCCATTAAAGAGAGGTTATATATTATATATATGCTTCATGATGTTTCAATTAAAATACTTCAGTAAAACAGAGCTGCTGAATTCAGAAAATGAGAAAATTTGGAAGTAGTGTGGTATATGACATTTTGATGTCAGCTTATTTTTTATGAAGTCTGTATTTCGTAAATTTTGAAGTCTTGTATATTACTATATAATTATAGTTTTCAAATTTTTCAAGAAAGATTTTAAAGGTCACTTTAAACTTTTTGTGAGGATATTGATAAAACAATAGGCCCATTATTCTCTGTGTGGTTAACAACCTTTAATTTTGGGGGGAGGGTTGTGGAGATGTGGGGGTTGTGGGTTTTTTGATACAAAGTCCCACTATATGTAGCCCAAGCTGGCCTCAAACTCAATATGTGACCCAAGCCAGCCACAAACTTGATCCTCCAACTTCCCAAATTCTGTAATTATAGGTCTGAACCACCATGCCTGGCTCATTTTCTACTCTTTTTTTCTCATGTTAGGAAGGTAAATATATAAACTAGTTTATATTAGGGATACTTCCTACTTGTTAAAATGTGAGAAAAGACTGATGGGACTTGGAAACAAAATTATAATTTTTTCCTGGTTGCCAAATGAATCAGTCATCTGTGATATAACAAACGAAAAACTTTGTGTTTTATGACTGGAATCTGACTCACTTAGCAAAGTCTAGAAAAGTGTTAGCAGGAACTTTGTTAGATTAAATTCAAATTCCTGGGGATCCATTGTTAGAAACAAGATATAATCCCTCTCCTTAAACTAGTATTTGCCAGAGAGGATGTGCTATGTATTCTTTTTTTTTTTTATTCATTATTCATTGGTGTCATTTTTTTTTTTTTTTTTTATTATTCTATGTGCATACAAGGCTTGGTCATTTCTCCCCCCTGCCCCACCCCCTCCCTTACCACCCACTCAGCCCCCTCCCTCTCCCCCCCACCCCCTCAATACCCAGCAGAAACTATTTTGCCCTTATTTCTAATTTTGTTGTAGAGAGAGTATAAGCAATAATAGGAAGGAACAAGGGTTTTTGCTGGTTGAGATAAGGATAGCTGTACAGGGCATTGACTCACATTGATTTCCTGTGCTGGGTGTTACCTTCTAGGTTAATTCTTTTTGATCTAACCTTTTCTCTAGTTCCTGGTCCCCTTTTCCTATTGGCCTCAGTTGCTTTTAAGGTATCTGCTTTAGTTTCTCTGCATTAAGGGCAACAAATGCTAGCTAGTTTTTTAGGTGTCTTACCTATCCTCACCCCTCCCTTGTGTGCTCTCGCTTTTATCATGTGCTCAAGTCCAATCCCTTGTTGTGTTTGCCCTTGATCTAATGTCCACATATGAGGGAGAACATACGATTTTTGGTCTTTTGGGCCAGGCTAACCTCACTCAGAATGATGTTCTCCAATTCCATCCATTTACCAGCGAATGATAACATTTCGTTCTTCTTCATGGCTGCATAAAATTCCATTGTGTATAGATACCACATTTTCTTAATCCATTCGTCAGTGCTGGGGCATCTTGGCTGTTTCCATAACTTGGCTATTGTGAATAGTGCCGCAATAAACATGGGTGTGCAGGTGCCTCTGGAGTAACCTGTGTCACAGTCTTTTGGGTATATCCCCAAGAGTGGTATTGCTGGATCAAATGGTAGATCATGTCTAGCTTTTTAAGTAGCCTCCAAATTTTTTTCCAGAGTGGTTGTACTAGTTTACATTCCCACCAACAGTGTAAGAGGGTTCCTTTTTCCCCATCCTCGCCAACACCTGTTGGGGGTGTTGCTATGATGGCTATTCTAACAGGGGTGAGGTGGAATCTTAGTGTGGTTTTAATTTGCATTTCCTTTATTGCTAGAGATGGTGAGCATTTTTTCATGTGTTTTTTGGCCATTTGAATTTCTTCTTTTGAGAAAGTTCTGTTTAGTTCACTTGCCCATTTCTTTATTGGTTCATTAGTTTTGGGAGAATTTAGTTTTTTAAGTTCCCTATATATTCTGGTTATCAGTCCTTTGTCTGATGTATATTGGCAAATATTTTCTCCCACTCTGTGGGTGTTCTCTTCAGTTTAGAGACCATTTCTTTTGATGAACAGAAGCTTTTTAGTTTTATGAGGTCCCATTTATCTATGCTATCTCTTAGTTGCTGTGCTGCTGGGGTTTCATTGAGAAAGTTCTTACCTATACCTACTAACTCCAGAGTATTTCCTACTCTTTCTGTATCAACTTTAGAGTTTGGTCTGATATTAAGATCCTTGATCCATTTTGAGTTAATCTTGGTATAGGGTGATATACATGGATCTAGTTTCAGTTTTTTGCAGACTGCTAACCAGTTTTCCCAGCAGTTTTTGTTGAAGAGGCTGCTATTTCTCCATCGTATATTTTTAGCTCCTTTGTCAAAGACAAGTTGGTTATAGTTGTGTGGCTTCATATCTGGGTCCTCTATTCTGTTCCACTGGTCTTCATGTCTGTTTTTGTGCCAGTACCATGCTGTTTTTATTGTTATTGCTTTGTAATATAGTTTGAAGTCAGGTATTGTGATACCTCCTGCATTGTTCTTTTGACTGAGTATTGCCTTGGCTATTCGTGGCCTCTTGTGTTTCCATATAAATTTCAGTAGATTTTTCAATCTCTTTAATGAATGTCATTGGA